CAAGCTGAAAGAACCGAAGAAACAATTCAAGTCTTGACTTGAAATACTGAAGGATTGTATGGGCAAAATATTGAATGATGCAGAAAGAATCAAAAGAACATGGAAGGACTACACAGATTCATGGTACAGAAAAGAAATGGTTGACGTTCAACCATTTCAAGAGGTAGCATATCATCACTAGCCAGTGATACTGAAGGAAGAAGTCCAAGGTGAACTGAAGGTATTGGCAAAGAACAGGACTCTGGAAATTGATGGAATACAAATAGAAAAAATTCAACTAAGTGATGAGGTACTGGAGGCACTCACTCATCTGTGCCAATAAATTTGGAAAATAGTCACCTCGTAAACTAATTGAAAGAGATCATTATTTGTGCCCATTCCAAAGAGAGATAACCCAATAGAATGTGGATATCGTTGGACAGTATCATTAATATTGCAGGCAAATAAAATTTTGCTGAAGATAATTTGAAAATGCCTGTAACTGTACATTGACAGGGGACTGCCAGAGGTTAAGGCTGGATTCCAGTGGGGATGTGGAATGAGGTATATAATCGCTGAAGTCAGATTGATCTTACCTAAAAGCAGAGTATACCAGAAAGTTGTTTTTATGTGTTTTATTGACTATGCAGAAGTTTTTGATTTTGTGGATCATAATGAGCTATAGACAATATTGCAGAGAATGAGTATTATTCTGGAACTCTTAATTGTGCTCATCAGGAACCTGTACATAGAGCAAATGTCAGTCATTTGAACAGTGCAAGGGGACTGTGAATGGTTTAAAATTAGAAAAGGTGTGCACTGGGGTTATATTCTTTCACCATGCTTATTTAATCTGTTTGCTTAGCAAATAATTCGAGAAATTGGATTATGTAAAGAAGAATGTGGCATCAGGATTGGAGGAAGACTCATTAACAACCTGCAAATATGCAGATGACATGACCTTGCTTGCTGAAAGTGAAGAAGACTTAAAATACTTACGGATGAAGATCAAAGACTATATAGCCTGCGGTATGGGATGCATCACAATGTAAAGAAAACAAAAATCATCATCACTGGGCCAATAAATAGCATAAAGATAAATGGAGACAGGATTGAAATTGTCAAAGACTTCATTTTGCTCAAATCAACCATCAACACTCATGGAAACAGCTGTCAAGAAATAAAATGATATATTGCAGAAAGCAAATCTGGTGCATTAGACCTCTTTAAAGTGTTCAAAAGGAAAGATGTCAATTTGCAGACTAAGACTTGCCTGACCCAAACCCCATAGTCATTTCAAATAGCCATATGCATGTGAAAGTTGGACCATAGAAGACTTGATGCATTTGAGTTCTTGTTTTGGAGAAGAATATTACAAGTATCATGGACTGCCAAAAGAACAAATATATCTGTGTTGGAAGATGTACAGTCAGAATGTTGCTTAGAAGCCAGGATGGCTGGACTTCTTCTCATAAACTTTGGACATGTTATCAGGACAGACCAGTCTTTGAAGGACATCGTGCAAGGCAAATTGGAGGGTCAGCGGAACAGAGGAAGAATCCCAATGATATGGATTGGCACAGTGACAGCAGCAGTGGGCTCAAGTGTAGCAATGATTGTGAGATTAACTCAGGACTGGGCAGTGTTTCGTTCTGTTGTGCAGAGGATTGCTGTGGGTTGTTACCAACTTAAGGGCACCTAACAACAACATTAGCTGGAGGTCCTTGTCTCTACATACTGGTTCTTGTCACCAGAAACTTAACAACCACAGCCATGCTTGATAGCCTTTGTTCATGTTATCCAAGTGAATGCCAGTGTTCAAACATTAAGCAAATAGTACCACATTGTTATAATCACTCCTGCACAAATCTTACTCCTGCCTCAATTGTATTTTATACAAAGATTTGAGTGGAGTGGTAATAGTAATAATTATTATAGAGAGAACCTCATACTAGTCTTATAATAGAAATTTGGAAACTAACAGAAGAACAGGAAAAAGTAGGTTTTTAGAATCTCCATATAGGTGTTAGGTATCCCCCAAATTTGAATGAATTAAAACAAAATAAGTTTCTCTACTCATTTATTCTGTATTTTCTTAAAGCAATGCCTATTAGCAATTTCTTTGGTATGCACTTGGAAATAATTCTGTTGTCTGTAAATACACGGGGAGTGCTGTGATATGATAAGAAATGCACTGTGAACCACAAAGTTGGCAGTTTGAGCCCACCAGCCGCTCCGTGGGAGAAAGATGAAGCTTTCTGCTTCCACACAGATTTGAAGTCTCGGAAGCCCTGTACAGCGTCATTGAGTTGGAACCAACTTGACTGCACTTAACAAGTATATGTTATTTGTTTTAAATTTCAAATGGCGCTATAATATAAGCATTGGACTCCTATCTGCAAGGTCAGTGGTTCAAATCCTTCTTTTAGAAACCCTGTACAGGCTCATTATGAGTCCAAACAAACACAGTGGCACTTAACAACATCTCATAGATACACCTGCAAAAGTGTGTTTTTGAGGAGTACCTGCTGGGTTTGAACTGCCAACCTTGTGGTTAGCAGTCCAGTGCTTATCCTACAGCACCACACCAAGACTGTCTTTTTTTTCTCCTTTGACAATATATATTAAAGATCTTTTTCAGAACAGTAGAGATTTAGATTTACCTCATTCTTTTTAGTTATTGCATGATGTTGTTCATTGCTGTTGAATCAGTTCCACCTCATAGCCATCCAGTATTTGTTAGATAGAACTGTGAGCACAGTTTTGGAAGCAGATCTCCAGGCATACTTTTTAAGGCACCTCGGGGTATGTTGGAACCCTCACCTTTTCATCGACTAATTAAAGTACTGAACTATTTACACTTACCTGGAACTCCTTAATGCGTTGTTGTTAAGTGCTGTTGAGACTCATCATAGCTTCCCTGTATGGTGTTTCTGAGGTTCAGCTGGTGGGTTTGAACTGCCAACCTTGTGCTTATCCTGCAGCACTACACCGGGATACATTGTTGTTGTTAAGTGCTATCGAGTCAGTTCTGACTCATAGCGACCCTATATAGAGTTTCCCAGGAGCAGCTGGTGAGTTTGAACTGCTAATCTCATGATTCACAGCCCTGTGCTGATCCTACAGCTCCACACAAAGATTCATAGTAGTCATTATATTGTTGTTGTTAAGTGCCATCGAGTCGGTTCCGACCCATAGCAACCCTGTATAGGGTTTCCAAGGAGCAGCTGGTAAGCTTGAACCGACAACTTTGCAGTTCAAACAGCTTTGCAGTCTGGCACATTAACCCACAGAGCCACACTAGGGCTCCAGTCATTATATTCACGTACTTTAATTTGTATATTAAGGAGCTCTGATAGCGTAGTGGTTACGAATCAGGCTGCTAATTTTATGGTCAGCAGTTCGAAACTACCAGATGTTCCATGGGAGAAAGATGAGGCTCTCTGCTCCCATAAAGATTTACAGCCTCGGAAACCCTGTACAGGGTTACTATGGGTTGGAACCAACTCCACGGCATATAACAACAACAGTTTGTATATTACCTCTCATGCACTGATGGCCATTAAGTTGTTTCCAACATTTTTGTTTTATAAACAATGTTTGTTTAATATTCTTGCATATATTTTTTGGCATACTTTTGCAGGTATATCTGTTAAATACATTTCTAATCATGGTGTTTAGAACTCTACATGTAATGAGTTGTACATGTAAACTTGGATTTTTCATAATTATTGCCATATCTCCCTCCAAAGAGTTTTTGCCATTTCCTCTACCAGTTTGAGTTAAAGATGTTTTGCAATACAGATGTCAGTGTGATTGATTGTCAGCTAAAAACACTTACCTGGCAAGTTATCAAGTTTTGTGGTGCTGTCCAGTTAGTTCCTGCTTATTGCAACTCTGTATGCAGCCACACGAAACACCGCCCAGGCGTGTACCATCCTTTCGATCATTGCTTTGTCTTAGCTCATTATAGCAACCACTAGGTCAATCCGTCTTATTGAATATTTTCCTCATTTTTTCTGATCATCTGATTTATTGAACATTATGTCCTTCTTCAGGGATTGGTCCCTGCTTATCATATGTCTAAAGCATGTGAGACAGAGTTTCACCACCCTTACTTCTAAAGGTGCGTTCTGGCTGTACTTCTTCCAAGACAGATATGTTTGTTTTGTCAGTGAATAGTATATTCAGTATTCTTCACTGATTCAAGTACATCAGTTCTTCTGATCAGTCTTATATGTCCATTATCCAGCTTTTGCAAGCATATGATGTGATGGAAAATACCAAGGTCAGGTATACCTTCGTTCTCAAAGTAATATCTTTGCCTCTTTTTTTAACGCTTTTAAGAGGTCTTTAACTAAAAAGATTCTTAAAAAGAAAGAAAACCAGAAAATGAGTATCAGAAGAAACTCTGAACCTTTCTTTTGAATGTGGAGTAACCAGGTGAAAGGAAGAAATGATGATGTAAAAAAGTGAAAACAAGTAAAATAGTGTAATGAAATGTGCAAAGACCTGGGATTAGAAAGCCATATTTCTCAGCTGAGGGAACTGAAGTAAATGTCTGAGCCTTTAGTTGCAACATTGAAGGATTGTATAGACAAAAAGCTGAACTTCGTAGGAAGCATCAAATGAAGAGGGAAAGAGAGTAGACAGAAAATAGGAACTGCAAGGAGAAAGTCTTGATAAGTGGAGGGGGATTCTAATCATTGAGATGAAACAAACTGTTGATTTGTTGGATGTAAAACTGGTGATCTACTCTGTAAACCTTCACAATAAAAGGATTTTTTTTAAATGATAGTAATAAATCATCAAAAGGGACTGTGTTGATAGAGGCAAGTGTTGAATCAGGAAATCCTAGGCTTGCCTGGAATTCGTATAATTTTGGGGAATAGGGATAGTATAGTATCTGCCTATACAAATAAGATCTGGAATGAGAAAAGTGCTGCAGAGGGAAATGAATAAGATGGAAAGAATACACAGAATCACTGTACCAAAAAGAATTGGCCAGGATTCAACCATTTCATGAGGGCCCATATGGTTAAGAAGTCAAAGTTGCACTGAAAGAATTGGCTAAAATCAAGGCTCCAGGAATTGACAGAATTACAAAGTGGATGCAACTCTGGAAGCACTCCCTTGTCTATGCCAAAAAATGTGGCCATCCACATAGGTGCCTGTTCCAAAAAAAAGGGATCAAATGGTATGTGCAAATAAATGATCAAACAATAATCACTAATACCACTTACAAGTACAATTATGCTGACGAGAAATCAAAAAATGTTATAGCAGTACACCAATAGGGAATTGCCAGAAATTCAAGCTGAATTTAGAAAAGGGAAAGAGGACGTGGCGCAGGAGATATCATTGCTGATGTCAGATGGATCTTGTTTGAAAGCAGAAAATAACAGAAAGATATCTACCTGTTTTGTTATTTTTGTTTTAATTAAAAAATGTTTTTGACTACACAAAGGCTCGTGACTGTGTAGATTAACAAAATGTGTAGCTAGCATAGCAAAGAATAGGAGTTTCAAAAACTTAATTATGCTCTTGGGGAACCTGTACATAGATCAGGAAGCAATTCTTTGAACAGAGTAAGGGAATATTGCATGGTATTTTAAATTTTACTGTTATTGTTGTTCCATGCCGTGGAGTCAGTACTGACTAATAGCAACCTGTGCGCAACAGAACAGCACTGCCTGGTCCTGTGTCAACCTCACAGTTGTTGCTACACTTGAGCCCATTGCTGCTGCCACTGTGCCAATCCATATTATTGGGGATCCTGCTCTTTTTCTCCAACCCTCCACTTCACTAAATATGATACCCCTCTCCAGTGACTGGTTCATCCTGATGGTACATCTGAAGTATGAGAGACAAAGTCTGGTCATCGTGGCTTCCTGAAGTTTTACTAGGAAATGTTTTTTACACTTGACTTTACTTGTATGGTGGGGAGATGATCATGTATAAAATGATAGAAGTCAGTTTCCACTTTAAAATTTCTAGTGAATAGCTTCTGTGTTTAAAATTATGAAGTTATTTTTGTTGTTTTTATTGTTTTGATTTTTGAGTGAGGCAAGAACTCAAAATGAAAATATTATTTCCCTACTTATTTGTACCCACATTATTAATTGAAGATGGAGGGACAAAGTATAAACAGAAAGCCTTTTGTGTAGAGTAAAACATTTTTATTCATAACACTTTGCTGTATTTTCTCCAAAAACTTTTAAAACGTTATAGAAGATATTCTTTGTTTTTTCTTGTTTAAGATATACTAGGTAACACTCATAAACTAGTGAATGTCTTTATGCAGTGTTCTTATATGAAAGCAAAGTAATAAATATTATCTTTTAGGAATATAATATAAAATATGTTGACTTGATTGAGGAACAGCTTAATGAAGCACTCACTACGTACCGGAAGCCTATTGATGGTGATAATTATGTCCGTCGCAGTAACCAAAGGTACAGTCAGTTCGTGGAACAATTTTTGCAAGTGGTCAAATATCAGAATTTCAAATCAGTTTATAATTGCTCATTATTTTAAGCAACATAATCTGATTACTTGTGTATTCTTTATCTTACATGGCTCAGGAAAAATCTTTTTTTTTTAAAAAAAAAAAAAAAAGCTCAACAATTTCTGTGGCATTCATAACATGCTGAATACCCTCATTGACTTAGCATTCTAAACACACTCCATGCTCTTATTTTGAGACACTCCCCCAAATTATTATTTTTCCAGAGAAATTCTCATACACTCCCATCTCCATACTTTAATTTCTGCTTGGGAATTATATCAAATTTTATTTATGTAATATATATATCAATAGTCTATTTTAATTAGTATATTTACAATATACTGGTGTCTGTATCAAACCATCTTTCTTATGCTAGATTACAGCGTCCACATGTCTACCTGCCTGTACACCTCTATGGACAACTGGTACACCACAAAACAGGCTGTCATTTGTTGGAAGTACAGGTAAAATACAATTTGCTTATGTCAAATGGTAGAAAAAATTTAAAATTTACTGTTTCTAAAATAATAACCATTTCAAAAGCTTCTCAAAGACCTTAAAGTCAGTAGTGTAAATGCTTTTATAGTCATCTGTTTTATAATTAATTTAGGCTTTCTGTGTTTGTAATCCTTCACATATATCAATACCTTGCCCACATTTTATGAGGGGGCTTCAAAAAGTTAATGGAAAAATTATGTTATCATTTAATTCATGCTGAATGACAGGGGACCTTTTGCATAGCTAATCTATTATGTAGAATATGCAATCCATTGGAAATCCTTTCCTGTGTAGTGTGTTGAGGAAATTTAGTTCTCCTCAGTAAACAACATTCTGAAAAAGTGAGTTTCTGTCTTCTTCCTAAAAAAAATGGTAGACTGAACCTCATATTTAGTTGTTCTATGAGCAACAGACTGAAAATATAAGTTATTCATTTAGACCTTACTATCCTCCTCAGAGTCCTGGTGTGGCGCTGTGGGCTATTGCGTCAGACTGCAAAGTCATTTGAACTGCAAGGTTGGTGGTTCAAGCTCACCAGCTGCTCCTTGAAAACCCTATACAGGGTCGCTGTGAGTCGGAATCGACTTGACGGCACTTAACAACAGTATCTTCATATAATTTATTTAACATACTAGGCCTAGGCAAAGAGTTCTTTGGATATAGTATGTACACTGTATTTATCACTACAAATATGCCTTACAATGAGATATTTTAAATGAATATAATTTTTCTTATTTTTAAAGAAGTAGAGAACTTTTTTGATGTGTCTGAACAATAATATTCTAACCATTTAGTTCTTTTTTGTATCAGTATTTATCTTTTTTTTTTTTTTAATTAAAGGTTTTTATTGTGGATTGAGTGAAAGTTTACAGGGCACATCATCAGTTTCACATCTAACTATTCATATAACTTGTTTCATTACATTGATTATGATCACCTACTTATACCATCAGTTAAAAGTCTTTCTCTCTATCCACTTTAGCTTTTTT